TCGTGTAGTTCGGGCTTAAGTCCTCGAAAATGCCGGCGCCCTTGGTTTACATCCGCACATAACCTCATCTCACCGGTCCTCTTTTAGAATTCGCAATGATTTCGAGCGTTGTCCTTTCTCCACTTTTCTCACTTTTTCAATCATACTCGGTTCTTACATTTAAAATCGTCTTGAGTAACAGTCTTAAGGTATCATGATCCAATCGCAGAGCTGTATTAATATCTCAAGACATTAGTTAAGCCGGTCTTCGTAATCGATTCTTACAGTTGAGACTGCTTGAGAGAGACTTGTGTGTGTGTGCGTGCGTGCGTGCGTGCGTGCGTGCGTGCGTGCGTGTGCGCGTGTGTGTATTAACGTCTTAAGACATTACTTAAAACGGTCTTAAAATAAAAATAGATTATGAATACCGACCATAAGACTAAACTCGCTATTTAAAAAAAGAAAGAAAGAGAATTGCGACTTAGAAAAGATAGATTTGTCTTTTATTTTGAGTGCGTATTATTCGGAATGGATTTCGATCGGAATCATTTAATTATTTTCTAGATTTCTATTGTATTTTCTAGAAAAAAAAACGGAATAATTCCGATTGAAATCTATTCCGAACAATTTTATAATACATGTCCTGGATATTGTATACTAGAATTTTTTTCTCACTTTCGCTAAATTTCAAACATGTATGCTTTAAAAAATATCCATGGGTTATAAATCCACATCATGTTGGTGTTAAAATCTATTTAATAGTGACAGTCATATAGACACTGCGTAGCATGGTATTCAATCCACACACACATCGATATTTTTTAAAATGTACCTATTACATTTAATTTTACAAGTACAAAAAGTGTACACTACGCCGTGAAAAAAATTTCTGTTTGAAAATGGACGAATCAGAATTTTCTGGTGAAATCTATTATAGGTAATTCTAGTTGAAATAATCAGCTATCCAATTATAATGATGGAAATTCTGATTGATATCAATCAGAATCTTACTGGAATTCGTTCATTTTTAACAGAAATTTTTCTCAATGCAGCTATAAAAAACAGACCTAATAAATCCAACGGAAAAGTCCTTCACATTTTTTAACGTTCAAATTTCGCGCTTGTGTATTCGGGATGGGTTCCTGATTTATCATACCGCCATTGGGTGCATCCAAAAGCGCAGAGCGCTCAGTGAGCTCTTGCATCTGATTGGGATATTCCATCAGAGCTAAAAATATAGACCAAACAGGTACAAGAGCTCACTGAGCGCTCAATGAGCTGTCATGCTTCTGGATGCACCTATTGGCTTCGTTCAGCAGATTCAACAATTGAGTGAGCGCTAGCTGCTATCGATGTATTCTTCTAGATAGATCTGGCGGTATTCATAGTCCGTTCTTATTTCAAGACTGTCTTAAGACGCTAATGCGGCCCTCCGATCGATTCGTGACTTCTTAAGATTGCACTTAAGACGGTCTTGAATATAAGATCCGACTACACTGAGAAAAAAACAAAAAAATTTCTGAAAATCCAAGTAATTTGTTTCTTGAATAGTTCCAAGTAAACATTTCTTTACTGCAAATAAATATTTATTAAAATGTAAACATATATTGAGAAAATTTGTTTTCAGTGTATAAATACCGGCCTAAAAGTCTAGTTGGATGATCTAGAAGAATACACCAATAACAGAGAGTGAGCGAGCGCTCACTCAACTGACGAGTGCTGCCGAATGCAGCCATTATGCGCATTGCTGCACCTGATAGTAGCACTCTTACGTAGTAGCACGTTTCCCTCCCCTCCCCTCCCCTCCCCTCCTCATGCTCTCGCTGGTCTTGGCTTTCTTTCCTCCAATATTACGGCGCGGCGGATGAGGCGTACGGAGAAATTATTCCCGGAGGTGAAAATCTCAATCTCTCGCGTGGTTATTCGGCTTGTTCGGGCCCGTGCGCGGATAAGGAATAAGGATACTCGAGACGAGCAAAGTGGCGCGCGTCGATTCCGCCGTCGATCATCGGTTTACGGTTTATTTTCTCCCAGGTTTCGTTCGCCTTCATATTCATGTGCCCGACGCTCGGTACGTACATTGTTCATCGCGTATAATGCATTCCTTGTTGACGGACACTCTCCACGCGGCCGAGGACTAATTTGAGAAGCGATCTGCGACTCGCCTCGTCAGAGTACGATCGATCCGTTCGGCCAACTCGATTTCCGTCGCAGGACGACAACGTGGTGTATCGTAAAGAGGATAACGGTGCACGACGTGCGCACGTGTCTTTTCGCAGAGACGAACAGAGACGAACGAATCCGCAGAGCGAGTCTCTCGAAGCAGGCGCCGATCGATAATCGTTCGATGGCACTCGCTCGAACTATGCTGCGTTCAGCAGAAAAGGAAGTTTTGCAACTGTTGTAAAATTCTTTAATATGCTTGGTCTTAGGCTTTAAACAAAATGAAATGAACAGGCAACTGGCAACAGAAACGCGGAATAAGAGATTTTCACTTGTCAGAAACCGTGTCTACTATACTGTTAAATCTATAGTGTCAAATTTAACCTAATGCGAGTCGCCATATGCTCCTACTAAATATATCGTTATTTTTTTACTAAAACGATAATTAAATTTGACGCTATATCGTATCAGATATAACCATTGTTTTAGTATAAAATAACGATATGATTGAGTAGAAGCAGTGGCGACTCGCATTAAGTTAAATTTGACACTAGATTTAACAGTGTCAGTGTCTTTTACTTCATGCTGAGAAAAATTTCTGGTCGAAAATGGACGAATCAGAAAATTCTGATCATACCACAAGCAGATTTCTGCTTTTCAACTAGAATTATAATTGATTTAGAAAATTTCTGATGTGTATATTTTCAACCAAAATTCCAATTAATGCAATCAGACTCTTTTTCTAGTAATTGTAAATATTTACACGCTGCAAGTGCTTTCTTGGTCAATTCTGGGAGTAAAATTCTTTCTTCTATTAGTCAACGAAGCATTTTGTACCCTAAGTGGATCGCACCTTAGAATACACGTTTCTGATAGAATGAAATCTGTTTCCCTGTTACCTGTGCTTTTCATCGTATTTAAGGGGATCGTAAAGTCGACTGTTTTACCGATTCAGTAGTAGTAGAATTTGCACACCTACACGGAGAGAATTTTTTCTTAGAGTTTACCCTGAAAATATGATAGTCGTGGGACAAAATTGTACTTGGAAGAATTTTAATGTAAATCTCTCTTATTCATTAATAAAAAAACTACAATAAAGTATAATATAAAATAAGTTTGATTAATTTTACTGAAGTGCATGGTAAAAATCTTTAAAATATTGTATTGTATTACAACTACCATATTTTCAGGGTAAATTTTAAAAGAAAATTCTCTTCGTGTACGATTTACCGATTTACGTGTCATTGACATCACTACGCTCTGCTACATCAATATCGCATGCCCACATACGTACAAATTTTCTAATTAATCTTTTATATTGGAATGGACCTAAGCCTAATTCTAAGAACTCAATTGTTTGTTTATGTAATCCTTAGTTCAAATGCCAGAAGCTAATAAAACTGATTTTCCAATTTTTTTGTTTTTGCCGATCGACTTGGACTACATTATATTTTAATTGTGAAAAAGAATCTTTTAATCTATGTAAAGGCAGTTAGAAATTAAGTATTTCAATACATATTTGAAAAATAATCAGTAAAACAAACTTTAGGATCACCTTAAGGCTTTACCTTTCGTTCCTCACTGGATTTAAGCGACGTCTACAATGAAAATTTAAGGCGCAAAACTTAAGTCTTAAGCCATAAGAAATTGACCAATCATATAGCGTTTTCCGCTGGAAAAACTAGTGCAACATTAGTGCAATTAAGTGCAAATCGGTTTATACATTTTAGTGTTAATAAATAATTTAAACCTTTATGGTTATCATAATCTTATAAGGAATATGTTATTAAATTATTTATTAAAATTGAAAGTATGTAAATTAATTTGCATTCACACAATTGCACTGGTGTTGCACTAGTTTTCCCAGTGAACAACACTAATAGTCGATTATTGTTCTCACATTCGATTATGGTAAATTTTTTTACGGCTTCAGGCTTAAAGCTTCAGTTTTATGCCTTAAATCTCATTATAGACGCCGCTTAAACTTACAAACCAATCATATTAAAAGCCTATTTTATCGTTGCGTAGTTGTAAGAACGTAGTTCTTAAGAATTGACCAATCACAGTCGAAAATGAGGAGAATGTTCGACTACGATTGGTCAAATCTTACAACTACGCTTACTAAATTATAAAATAGGTTTAAAGAATTTTACAACAGTTGCAAAGCTGCTTTCTCTGCCGAACGCAGCCAATAGTAACGATCGAACAAGTTTGCGATCCGCCCGATCAGAAAAACGGCTCAAAAAAAAAAGAAGGAATGGAATGTTCCTGGCGGTTCTGTAGACGCGCGTGGTCATACTGTTACAGAAAGGAAATCCTCGCGTACTGTCGCCGGAAGTGGCCCACCGGGTGGCCGGGTACTGATCGGGAGTGCGCGAAAACCTTACGGATGGTCTTCGCGGTGCGGCCCACCCGGTACATCGGCGATCGAGAGAGTGTAGTGTGAGATCAATAATGAGACAGGTGCTCTCATTGGTGTAAAACGATGCGGCGGAGCTGAGAGTTTTGTCGGGCGGCACTAGGGCTCATGAAAAGTGTATCCGGCGCGCGTAACGACGCCGTCGCCGTCAAGGACCAACGTGCCGCGAGACATTCGAGCGAGTTGGATCAGTGTAATTATAATGTAGTGCCAACTCTGCAGATGGATAAACAGGGATGACTGATAATTGCTGGAACTCTGGTGGTGGTAAGTGTCTTTTAATTGACATTGCACATCCTCTTTTGCAACTCGCTCTATTTTTTTAACCCTTTCATCCATTGCTTAGGCAGATTAACGAAAGTGTCGAGCGGATTGGTTGAGATCCTCTCCGAGCTGTAGACGAAAGTGACTCGAGATATATGTTTTTCTCTCTCTCTCTCTCTCTCTCTCTCTCTCTCTCTTTCTCTTTCTCTCGAATTTCGGGACGCCCGGTGTATGAAAATACGGATGTTATTTCGGTCTTATAGTACACGAGATTAGATAAGTAACGCGAGGATAAATCAGCCGAGGAGCGGACACACCGTCGCGTCGGTTGGTAGCTCAATTACGTTTATGTATATGTATATTACGAGATGCGAACGCGAACGCTGTGGTGTCACTTGGACAAACGCAAAAACTTATTTTCCAACATAGTTAAGCCGTATGTAAATGTATTGGTAATAATTTTTTATTCACCTTGCGCGTAAAAATACTCTCGAGATACGAAAATAGCCTTGAGAACGTTGTAGGCGATAGGCGAACTGTTTTGAAATCTTTCGTTATGTTGAAAATATCAAAGGCGATAACGCGTTCCTCGCGAGTGATTTCGCTGATTTCGCATGATCACAAAGTTGCAAAATGATTATCTCAGAAAATTCGCCGTCTTATTATTTTCAGTTGCTCGCTCGATGTTGTTTCGCCCGAGAGAACTCTGTTCTGTAAACTCTTTATCGTGTCGATCTTTCAACATTCACTGAGATATAATATTGAAGGTCTCAGTTGACCCCTGTTCGACCACGCTATCTTTCAAACAATTGTTGAGTTTATTCAAGAAAAAATCCATAACGGACTCAATGATGAAGTTGGCATCGCATACTTTTACATTATTTTTTTGCATTTAATCGTCAGAACTCTTTTCGAAACCCATCAGGAACTCTAGAACTCTATTAATTACAACGAAATTTTGATAATAAGATACCAACTTCACGAAAGTTAATTAATGATGTCCATTTCTACCAATACAGATTAACTTTAATCTCGGTTTAATTTACTTTTTATCTTTTTCTAATTTATAGAACTAGAGAGGAAAAGGTAAAAAGTAAGTTAAACCGAGATTAAAATTAATCTACATTGATAGAAACAAGCATAAATCCAGTTTGCCATTTTATGTAGCCGAGTGTCCAGCAGGGACAGCTTTTTCTCCTGTGAGAATAATAGCGAATTCAGTCACTTGCATTACCTACACTAGATTAGTGCATACTAAATTAGTACTGCTACATGAAATTAGCAAAGTTAAATGTACACTGAAAAAATGTACTAAAGTTTAATAATATATTTTAATAAACGTATTAAATATTTTAATAAATATTGTTCGAATAGTACTAATTAAATATTTACTAGATGTAAACATATATTTATTTGTATACAAGAACCATCATTAATTGGATTATCATTTTTTTATTGAAATATATACTATACGTAAACATTTAATTAATATTATTGAAAAAAACATTGAAATTTAATAATTTTTTTTATCAGTGTAAAAGCATGTAAATATTTCAAACGATTAAATAATGATATTATTGCGTTAATTAACAGAATATATTATTTTCATTGTCCAAGTAGAGTATATTATACCACTGCTTTTAAATACTTTATATAGATATTTTCATTGTTCTTTTATTTATTTAGATGTGAAGCAGCCTTTTTAATGTACTAATCCAGTGTAGCGAGTGACCGATTTCACCATAAAATCCCCGCTAATTGTGGATCTTGGGTGCTTTCCATTTAGTGACATAACGACACAAGTCGACACAAATGTCGTTCTACCTTCTTTGCATTCCACGCGTAAAGACAGAACTGACAGAACGATACCTGTGTCGACTTGTGTCACTAAATGGAAGGAAGGCACCCCTTATATAAACCACGTGGCAATTCCGATAACGTTACACGTTAACCGACTAATACCTTCCGTTTTATCGCGAAGGGAAAATGCGGAGAATGAAGAGTATCGACGTATACAAGGAGAGAAAAAAATACTCAATATTGAAAACAATGTATTTAATTTTTACAGAATAGCGATATGGAATGCGATGATTGTCGTACAGTATATGCGAACCGCTGCGTCCCACGTTGCGCAAGTTGCACTCTCGCATTCATTGATTAAATCAACGCGATAGTTTTTCTCATTTTTGTCGCAACGAGGAACGCGACAGCGGCTACGCGGAATAATAGATTCCCGTGAAATCATTTCAATTAGTCATCCCTCAAATGTCGCCAGTCATTACGGAGAGAGAAGCAGCGACGATAAAGTTCGTGCTGCTCTCAACAACCTCTGTCGCGTTTTCAATATTGCCGGGCAAACAAGTGGATCGGTTCTCGACAGCGTCGCGGTGCCATTGGTGATGCTGCCGCTGCCCGCTGCCCGCTGTTCGCGTGGCACACTTTTTTGAAGGATGCAGGGGATTCGGCTGATGGACGCGACGCGCGAGTAATGCATTCGCCGTGTAGGTAGAACCACCGTTCGCGAAATATCCCGAGCAACGTCTCACATTGTTGCTAGCGCCTCGCTTTCTCCGCGCCTTTTGTAGAACGAATGAAATTCCAGCCGTTGCCAGTCGTGACACTTCTCCGATGTAAACGTCGCACGCGAAGCTGAAGATGCCGGTTGTTTTCTCGCTCGCGAAGATAGCGAGGGCGACGGATAAAAAGTTTTTTACGTCATTTGGAACACAGTCTGCGCGTGTACGTTAAACCCCTTCAGACCTAATTTTATTAGAACCATGTTAAACTTTTTTTTTTAATTCGATGTAAGCACTTTAATAAATAATTCTCATACTGCATAATTAATTTTTTTCAAAATTTTCACTATTTTTTCAACATATATATTATTATGTACATTTGATCTCGATGACGTCGATAGAATTAAATAATTTCAACAGATACGTCTTCAAATTTGGTGTACATTAAAATATCTGCACAGAGAGTCTGAAAGGGTTAAATCGACAGTGTAAGGCTTTTATTCTATATTCTTAACGACTCTAATTTAACTCTATATTGTTACTCTATATTGTCGTATGCGCAGGTTTCGTACATGATAAAAATATCTGCGCGAAGACAATGTAGGTATAACGATATCGTTACTGTCATTAAGAGTTACAGAATAGGGACCTAAATACTTTTAATGCGACGAAATCGAATATATTCCTGGATTCGTCGCGCGACGTTACACGCTGTGTCGTAAAAGCGCATTGTTTTGGATTGCACAATTAAAACCTGCGCCTCGGCGAACCGCGTCTATCTTCTTACTCGGCGAGTACGTTCGCCTATCCCAGGCACTACGAATAAAATAGCCTTGCCCCCGTTTTACATGAAAATTGTGGCCGGCGACGAGTTCAATGACTGCGCTACTGCACTCGCGCGAGCGAGCGTGGCTTCGCGCGTTCACCCGCTCGGATTTATTGACCGGCCAGATGCGTTCCGGCCGGCTGTCCCCCCCTCCCCGTCCAAACTGGCTTTAATTGTCGCATACCGCGACGATCAATTATCTCGTCACTTTCTCAATTCTCTCGTTGGGCGTCGAATCCGAACGCGCGCGGCGCCATTATTACCTGCGATCCGATCGCGATCGCGATCGCGGAATGGAAAAAGATCGTTAAACATCAACGTACAAAACAACGTTGCGCCGTTTGGTAACGCGCAACGGCCGGTCACGCATCGTGAACGTGTATAATGTCTTTAACGGATTGCAGTGATTCTCGAAAGTAACGGCGAGCAGTGCGACTCATTCAGTCGTGTGTACGTGTTGATAACAGACTGAAGAGAGAGGGACGATCCCTGCTAAACCAATCTATGAAAACTGAAGCTCGTACACCGACAAGAAAAATTTCTGATTAAAAACCAACTTGAAGATTCTGATCATATCAGAATTCTGGTTATCTCAACTACACCGAAAAAGAATTTAATAAATTGTAACAAGTATTTGTTTGAACAGTACTAAGTATTCACTACATGTAAACATATATTTATTTGATACCAAAAACATTAATTTAACTATCACTTTTTTTATTGAATAAATATTTATTTACTAAAAAGAAATATGTATTAAGAGTTAGTAATGTTTTCACTGTACATTGAGAAACTCATTTAGTTGAATCAATTGACTTCTTGTTTGGATAAACGAGTTTATCAGATGTCAATGTTTATCAGAAACAAGTAAAACGTTACAATAACTAAATGTTCTGCTTTAACTAAATTATTTTATTGCATCAACCAAGGATTTTGTTTGTCAACTAAATGTTCCTCAGTGTATAGCATTTAGTAGATTTAACCAGAAAATTTTGATCACATTCATCATAATTCTGATAATCTGAACTAAAATTATAATAGATTTAGCCAGAAAATCCTTTGTCCATTTTCAAGCAGAATTCCGTTTAAAGCAATCAGACTTTTTTTTCCTAATGTACGATACACGTAAGTAAATCTTTTTGTTGGCTCGCATGCGTGTCGTCTCGCTAGCCAGTGAATTTATAGAGATCTGTTACTTACTGAAGATTTCATTTGTAAATATAAAAAAAAACGCACCGCTCACCGTGGACTTAGACGGGTTTAAACTCAACGATAATTTTTTTCTGGGAAACTACGTCCCGCCGGTAGTTAACTAACCCTAGGGTGATTCTTTTCTCGGATAGTAGTTTCATCCGTAACGTGAATAATAAAGATGGAAAGGCACGCAATGCATGTAAGCGTGTGCTTTGTTTAACGCGCAAATTATCTATTATTTCTGTTCGCTGTCGATTCGACTAATTTTACGAGACTGTCTCCAAGTCGTACGATAGAATGTGGTTTATTCACGGAGAGGATCGACGGGCGAGTTAAATCCAATCCGTTTGATCGAAATAGATAATACTTCGGCATAACGTGGTCCCGCAAAACGCTAATTATAGCACTCGGATTGCGCCGTTTACGGTTTACGACCCGTGGGATGTCCATTTTATAGCGCGCGCGGTAATCATCAGCGGCTTCGGTAGCATCGCGGTGTTACGATCGAGGATGTTGTGTCAGTGGGCATTGAATACCATTGTCGAAGCGTTCGGTAATTGCAGTTCCGAAGGTGGCATTCCTATCCGAATTTTCTACTTGGGGGAATTCGGATAGGAATAATCGGTTCGTCGAGGACAAGCGTTCTCGTTTTCCCCGCATTTTTCCTCGCTCGGATTCGTCCAAAGATAAATCCTTTGCGATGCAATTCGTTTTGAAGTTTCTTACAAACCCACGCAAAGGAATAAGCATTGGTGCGAGTACGTGTTCGTTCGCGCTGGTTGGAGATGCTTCGCGGAAAAGGACGGTTCTGCTGAAGCATCTAAAAGATTTAGCTGAATACAGATCTGAAAATAATTTTGTTCAACTATCAAAATAATTATGTAAAACGCTCAAACTGGTTGCTAGGATATCTGAATTTGTTGCAGCATTGCTCGAATTTCCTATACTGTTAAATATCAAAGGTACAATGGAAATTTAATTCTTTGAGTTAAATAACATTTTATTTGTAACTTTCATGTGTCAAAGTGTTGTAAATCAATCCATTTCTGTAGTTAGTTTCGAAGCAATCAATGTCCATATTAATTCTAGTAAATAATAAATTACATCTGAATCAAATTTAATACATTGTCTTAAGTTGAATAGTTTAAACTCTATTGTTTTAATTAAATTAACGACATGTCGAATAGGAGTAGTGGCGATTTATAGAAATAATTAAAACTAACTCAGATTGAATATATGTATTATTTCAACAGTGTACACAATTATTTTTATCGTCCAACAAAATCATTTTTAGATCTGTATGAAAATTTTTAGATATTTTAGCAAATCATTTTTTCGTGCCATCTAATAATTTTGTCTTTAAGTCCCTGTTCTGTAAACTCTTAATTACAGTGTCGGTTATATTTGTCGTTGCGCACACGTTGAAAAAGAAATTTACTAATATTTCTTTAAATAATATTTTATATTGAGTAAATAAATATTTACTCAATAAAAAAAAAAGATAGCTAAATCAAATTAATCCTCCAGCACCACTTTGTGTCTTTTAAGCTCGTGTAGTCGATATCACGTTTTCTCAATTCTTATTCAGATTTCAATATGTAAAAAAATAAATAAAATGCGGTTCAGTTTTTATCACAGCAAAAACTTATTGTTAAAGGTTTCATAAGTGTACATGAATTTTTTCAGATTTTTACGTAGTCCGGAACCATAAAAAATACATGCTGTTTTCCTCGACGGCCGAGAGTGTAAACAATGATCGAAAATTTCTGGGTGGTGCTGGAAGGTTAATGGTTTTTGTATCAAATAAATATATCTATACATTTAGTAAATATTTACTTGGAACTATTCTAGTATTTATTAAAATTTAATTTTTTTCAGTGAAACTTTTTTACCAAGTATAAAGCCTGCGCAACAGCAATCTAACGATGTCAATACTTGTCATTAAGAGTACGGAATAGAAACCTTATTCTCGAAAAAATATCGCATACGAAATTACTAGAGAAATATATAATATACGTAACACAGAAGATACTATAGTATTCTTGTACATTTTTGTGTGGGATATTTTTCAAGAAAACGGTCCTTGATCTTCACGTGTGCGAACAACAATAGGGAAATCGCGGTAAATTGCAACGCGCGAATATCATCTTCTGTGAATGCTTGGCGCGTAATAGCATTATCCGGCATTTAATATCGGCTCTATCCGGCAACTTTTGCGATAGCTCGTTTCTCTTTACGTTTTTTCTGCACGGCTAACCCTTGCTTAATCTTTTTCTTTCCTTTTCTCGTTCTCTTCGTCTCGTCTTCATTTCTTTTATTCTGATATATCGCGTCGATTTCGCCATCAAATCAGTCGAGAAGATCTCGGAGAGCACATCGATCCGTATGCTATCGACTTTTTAGATCTAAATCGTCGATACGCTTCTCGATTCTTATCGCAGATTCTTCGTTTCTTTTGCCACCGACGCCACAGGCGAAAAGGTCGAAGTGTAATTCGCTGTGACTTGTTGTTGCAGGCGCTGGCGTCAAGATGGAGCACTTTCAGGCCACCCTGGACCCAAGGAAGCAGGAGTTGTTGGAGGCCCGCTTTCTCGGAGCGAGGGTGAGCTGCCTATAGCACACACGCGATTCTTTCTCTTCTATTCTCTTATCCCGTACAAAGATATTCTTCTTTATCATTTTGCGAACGTCGAGGAGAGAAAACTCAACATTGTTCAAAATAATGACATTAGGCGATGGCGAATCGTCCGCCTGGCGATACTCGCCTAACAGATTATCACTCAGCTTATTGATACACTATCGACTTTATCGACTTCGGACCGTTGAAACGAGTAATTAGCTCGTGAGGCAGGCACGTGATAGTTGCTGCAATAGTTGCTGTATGTCGGCGCGAAGCGACTTGCATTTCGTCCGCAAATTTTCCACTTATCGCTTTATCACGTGCTCAGGAGCCCGTCAACGTGCATCGCCAGAACCAGAGTCGACCTTTATCTCGTGACGAAACCGCGACGTTCCAATTGTCACGCACGTCGCCGCCAACATGATTGTTCTCGTTCTCTCCATCATATACCTGAGCTTTCTACTAGTCCTTAATACCGGCGATGACGAGAACGCCAGAGATCGGTCGCAGCTCGATCCTCTGATAAAATCCGACCATTATTATGTCACTGGCGTAGAGCCAATAAACGCACGCTGGAGTCAGGTTCGGCAGGTACTCATTACGGAACGAAACGAGTCGCACGCACGCGTAATAAAAGGAGACATTCGTCCGAGATTTTACGACATCGTCGTTAATTGTTTTTCTTTTTTTTTCTACGATCTATCGATAGCGACGTTCGGGTGTGAACGCGGCACAAGTTCCATGGGTATCTCTTATCTGAGTAACTATGCAACACAATAACGCTAGATAATTTTCTTAACTGTAGACGCGCGATGGCAACTACCTTTACTTTCTCTAAAAAGAAAAGTATCGAAACGATATAACAAAGTAGTATAGATTCAAAGTCGGTATTAAATGCGGGCAACGCAAACCAGAACGTCGATGTGACGGCGCTTAAACATTTCTTTTGTTCAAACAACGGGGAATAATTGAATGCGAAAGAGTAATTGTACGGTTTGACGATGATCAAAATGAACGATCGGTACGTTCAAAGCAAAATTTTGTTTGAATAAAAGAATTGTTTTACGCGGAGCAACATTGTTCTAGCGCGTGTCGGTCATGTGACGCTTACATCAATACTTGCATTAATAACAATATTTTACGTTATATTTCGATAACGTAATGTGTGAACGGACCGTTAAATTTAAGCATATCTGGCCGTGATTAATTTATAACTGTACAATATCGCACGCGAAGGATCGATACGATCACACAGATCACGATTCTAGTTCTTTTATACCGGAGACGACTCATTTGTACACGTCGATTCTATTTTCGGCAAATTACGACATCACGATATATACAGAGTGTCCCGAACAAGGCTTTAACGTAAGAGGTTCGCGTCGCTTCGTAGTGATTGTAATTCTGTGTTAAATTAACATGTACTCTCTAAAACTTTTAGAGTGAATTGTCACTCCGAAGAGTGAAATCTCACTCTTAAAGATTGAAAATTAAGTCACTTTTTTTTCAAGAGACTGGCTCAATTTTCATTCTTTCCAGTGAGATTCCACTCCAAGGAATTTAGAGAGTATAATTAAAACATTTTTTCGATGTCGTTTCAAGAGTATGAAGCTCGCTTTTTTAAAATTCTTTTACTCGTCCCAAGTCACACTACATACTCGACATAAAAGAAACTTACTCGTTTAATGTATTATTTACAACGACCCGCCTATATCGATCGTACTTACATTTATTCAGACGTTTAGTGTTCGCGTTTCTCAATGACGTAACAAAGAGTATCGACGAGCGGGTGTCATCTCTGCGGAGAGATGGGAGGGAACCAACTGTCTGTACATACAGCTAATACAGTTGATACGACATTATTAAACATGGCAGTATACTTATTTGATATAATATCTTCATTTTTGGAATGCTCAGTATGATCGTTGATTGGCTCTTATTCTGGATTTTTAAATCAGCCATATCATCTGAAGAAAATTACAATAATACTCGGTGTCCCAGAAATGGAATCATCGGTGGAATCGATGGAGTTAAACATGTATATAACTATTTGCGGAATAATATATAAATATATATATATATATATAGCTATAGCGGAACGTTCACAGATATGCGGTATGCCTATATTATCGGGTCTGAAAGTATGAAAGATGGAGAGAGAGAGAGAGAGAGAGAGAGAG